GAGTTTGCCCACCCCTGCTATAATGTGTTTCTGTTTAGTACAGGATATTATTTACAGTAAATAACTGAACTGAACTATTATGCCTCACGTTTCGTTGACAGTTTTATTGATCACTAAGATATGATTGACTTGGATTTAAGTTATAATAGATTAGATGTCGCTAAGCTACTTTGGCCATGTGGCTTTTAGCTTAGCTTGCTACATTATCCAGGGGGTAGCTTTTAATGTAGTTAAGCTACATTTTAAGTAGAGTAGGTAATAGCTTAGCTCACTACATTTTTCAAGTAGCTTGCCCAACACTGCCGGTGCTATAAAATCAAGCTGCTGCAGCTGACGCTATTGCTGTGTTGTTAATCTAATGTAAACCCACCAATCAAAAAATATAAGGCTGATGGCTTTTTATGTGCACGCTGTTGCTTTTTATCTAAATGTTAACTACTATTTTTATGTCATGGATATACTATGGTAACTCTGATAGTTCAATAACATCTATTTGACTTTTGGAAATCACCAAGCGACCCCCTGTCCCAACCCCCACTTTGGGAACTACTGCATTAACTAATGCTAACAAGCACAACTTTGGATTTTATTAATGCATTAGTACATGTTAACCAGTTAAACTCTGCTGTTGTTTTGGGATTTTTGCCTGGATTTTGCCTACCCAAATTTAAAAGCTTCCCAAATCCACATGCAGAGGTGAAAACCCTTTGAATTTTCATAAAACACAATTGAAAGTGTTTAAAATATCTGTATATGTTGTCTGTGTTTTAATAAACACCTAAAATAGAGGCGCTTTTTATATATATATTTTTTTATAAACTCAAATTTAAAAGTGTACCTTTTAGGTTCTGTGTGGTCTATTGTGCTGTAATTAATGTTGGTGGTTCCTGCACATGTCTGTAATCATTGGAAATAATAAAAATGTCTCCACCATAATCTATGCAAAAGTTATTCCAACTGATGAGAGGTGCTGTACAAGCCACAGGGAGCGATCATTGTTTTCATATTTCACTATTCTTTTGTTTGATCAAACATAATTCACTGTGTTTGGACCACGTCAGACATATAAAAGGATTACTTATGCACATCAGCTCAAAAACAGAGGAGAAAGGGCCCTGAAGCGCACAGCATAAGGTAAGAGATGACAACTGTCTGTGCTATCTGGGGCTGCTTATTGATCATAAATGTATTGTTTTCACTTCTGCGTCATGGAAACACAGCGACTGTTTGATATGTGAATATAATTCAGTAAAAAGAATGCTAGAACCGTATGAGCACCGGCAAGAGCTTTCATTTGAGTAATAACTTGTACATGTGTCATATAAGAACCATATGAGAATGAACCAATGTAAAATACCCAGCTCGAGCATTCAAAATACTGTGTATTTAAGTGTAAATAACTTTTGTACAGTAGGATAAAAAACAAAGTGATGCATATGTGCATAAAATATAGATTCTACACTTTTAAACGAAACCACTTAAGGGGGTCTGGTGCAATGCTAGCCCTTTAAATCTTAAAGCGAAAGTCGGTACCGTGTCCGCGGAGTTGAACTGGTTAAACTCTGATAATTAAATACTTTACAAGATTATTGATACTTAGTTAATGTTAGTAAATACATTAACTAATAAACCAATAAAGTGTTACCATTTAAAATATTTGAATACTCCCAGCTAAAACCAGTGAACCATCCTTAAGCTGTGTGTTTTATTTCGTTTCAATGTTTTCAATCTCCTGCATGTACTGACAATCACACACTGAATTACACTCAGCGTCCACAGTATCCATTTACCAACCAATTGTTCCTCCAAATCTCCAATCAATCCTATGCAAATACACGTGAGTGGTGTGTGTGTCTAGTGTGGGCGTTCGACTGTCTCCAGCCTGTCTTGAAGATTGCGCTGAGAAAATA